GAGACCGTGTGGTCCTCAGGCTCAGGGACCCCATCCTCCAGAGCCGGCTGATGGCAAGGGCGGACATCTCAGTCACCAAGGCCATCACCGAAGCAACTGCAGCTGAAGCCACCAAGCAGTTGCGGCCTGGATGCAGCAGATGAACACAGCAGACCAATCCACAACTGTGGAAACGGCATCAACCCCAGAAGGACATCCGGAGGCCAGCCACAAGGCCACCACACCATACACCACGGGGACCTCGACTCCTTCTCCGAGACCGAGGACAAGGAGGAGGAGATCCACCAACCGCAGGCGGAACAAGACCGGTGGGAACGGCGAGGCCGTAAGTTGGGGTTCCAGTGCGCTAGGTGTAGAGGCGACCATCCCCGCTCAGAGTGCTGATTCCTTGACGCCATCTGTCGGCACTGTGACAAACGGGGGCACATCGCCAAGGTGTGCCGGAATAAGAGGAATCACAGCCCACGGCGATGAGACGGCAGCCCTGGCAACGAGATGGCAGCCCCGGCGATGAGACGGCAGCCCCCCCAGGACCAGAGACCGACACGCCGAGAGCCGGTGGAGCTGGGACGGGAGGAACAAGCAGTTCAGCGAGGCCTGGCGCAAAGAAGAGACCCATTAGACGGTCATCATCGGGCACTCAACTACCCTCAACGCCCGGAAAATGCATGTGGAGGTAGGCATCGAGGACCAGCCATGTGAGATGGAGGTAGATTCCGGATCCTACCTCTCCATGGTCTCCTGGTGTACAATCAAGCGCCTGGTGCCTACCATCCACAGGTGCGAACTAGAAAACCAGAAGCTGACCCTGAAGGACTATCAGGGAAACCGCATTCCCGTGGTCGGGATTGGACATTTTAAAATAACATTCAAGGGGCATGCAGAGGTGCTTCCACTCACCATTGTGGATAAAGACCGCCCAAGCCTGCTGGGACTACAGTGGTTCACGCCATTGGGGATTGAGGTGACGGGCATCAACCATGTCGCCAAGGCGGACTGGAAGAAACGCTCGTGAGGGACTTCCAGGAGGTCTTCAACGGCAACCTAGGCAAGTACCGGGGGTCCCCAATATCTTTCAACCTAAACCCGAACATTGCCCCAATCCACCTTAAGCCATGGCGAGTGCCATTCGTGCTCAAGCCCAAAATCGATGAGCAATTGGACATGCTCATTGCGCAAGGGGTCTTAGAGCCGATAGACCATACCCAAGCCCCTATAGTCACCCAGATCAAGCCAGATGGATCAGTGAGGATCTGTGGTGACTACAAGGCCACCCTCAACCATGCCCTGCAGCAGAGTGCTTACCCCGTCCCAGTGGTACAGCACCTTCTGCACTCACTGGAGAGAGGCAAAGTCTTTGCGAAACTCGATCTGGCGCAGGCATACCAGCAGCTGCCAGTCAATGCTGAGACAGCAGAGGCGCAAACCATCGTAACCCACTGGGGGGCATTCTTATGCAAAAGACTCCAATTCGGAGTCAGCGTGGCACTAGGGGTATTCCAGAGCCTGATGGAGAGACTATTACAAGGGATAAAAGGGGTGGTGCCCTACTTCGACGATGTGCTAGTGTCAGCTACAAATAAAACCCAATTGGAGAGCCGCCTAAGGGAGGTCTTACAGAAATTCAAAGACATCGGGCTAAAAGTGAAAAAAGAAAAATGTCAACTTTGCACAGAGAAAGTTGAGTTCCTGGGGTACCTTCTAGACAAAAACGGAATCCACCCCACGGAAAAAAAGGTTAAAGCCCTCAAAGAAGCCCCTAGACTGCGAAATAAAACGGAATTGCAGGCTTTTCTTGGACTTATTAATTTTTATAATGTTTTCCTGCCCCAGAAGGCGACCACAGCGGAACCCCTTCATAGGCTGCTGGACAAAACAGCCACCTGGGCCTGGGGGAAGTGGGAAGAAAACGCTTTCAAACAAATAAAAGACCTACTAACATCAGACGCAGTCCTCATGCAATACAGCAAGACCTTACCATTGACCGTGACCTGCGACGCTTCACCCTTTGGTGTCGGAGCCATCCTCAGCCACACGCTGCCAGACGGGAGAGAAGCACCCATCGCCTTCTTCTCAAGAACGCTATATAGGTTTAGGTTTACACATAGGAGAGAAAGTCAAGGAAATCCACATTAGGCAAAGGTGATAAGTTTAGAGAAGGCTTAAATTTCATTTTTGATCTGTCGTTGGAAGTGTAGCTGAGAAATTGACTGTTTAAGTTGCAGCCTGATTCATTTTACTGAAAGATATCTCAAAAGTAGACCTGTGATTGGAGAGAAAAAATGGAAAATATTAATTTGATAACGGTGTACTATCATTTTTGTTGTTGTTATCAAGCCTTTCCCTCTCCACAGGATCCCTATAGCCATTTCCCTCCTCCCCAGGGTCCCCACAGGCCTTTTCCTCCCCTGCCGCATCCCCACAGGCCTGACTCCCACCCCACCAGGCCTCACAGCCTCCTCCTCCATACCCTTTGAAGATCTCTGAACCTCAAGCTGGTGAAGCAGGCCAGGATAGGCATCCCAGGGCCACATGACGGTATCCTGGAAGCAGCCGTTATTTTCAGTATGCTCGGGATTCATCCCTGGGCCATGTGGTGGACTTGTGGAAACGGCTGCCATTTTGTCCCAGCTGCCTTAGGGTCAAAATGGCGGCTGCTTCTAATCACTGTCACATGGGAGAGGGAGAAAACTGCTCTGTTTTGCTACCTTTAACACTGTGCAAACTGCATTAAGGGATTGTGGGTGCACTGAAATAATGGATGGAAACTGAACAAGGAGAGATTTAACCTGGAAATAAGGAGAAACTTTCTGACAGTGAGAACAACCAACCAATGGAACAGAAGTTGCCCTCGGAAGTTGTGGGAGCACCATCACTTGAGACTTTCAAGAAGAGATTGGACTGGCATTTGTCAGAAATGGTGTAGGGTCTCCCATTTGGGCAGGGGGTTGGACTAGATGACTTACAAGGTCCCTTCCAACTCTGATTATCTGTTAAATATTGTTCTCTCTCTGTGACCTAATGGAGACTTCTGTGCAGGCAGATTTACATGGCATTTAGCAAATATCAAATTTCCTCCTTCAGGAATGAATTGGCACTGTGGGTGCTCTTGGATGCAGCCCTGGCCAGCAGGAATGAAGCTGGCTCCCTTGGAGTGTCTGCCCTGATGGTGCTGCCATGTCCTAAATCCTTGGGAGCCACAGGAGATCAGTCATAACGTTTTGGGATTGTGGGAAAACTCTTCTCCCCCACCCACCCCCGGAAGAATGAAATATTTTGGGTAATATCAAAATATTATATTTCCCCAAAGGAGAAATGGAGAAACATGCTTTTAAAGAAAGAAAGCAGACTTGGTCTTTCTTAATAGCCTCCAGAAGATATTTTGTGTTAAGAAAGATTGGGCCAGCCTATTCACAAATAAAAGACCTTCAACTCCCGCAATGGGATTAAAATTTATATTCTCCACCATCCAAATTCCAAGAACAGGAGTCTCTAAAGATTCTCAGTCATCCAGGTCATGGTTGTCCCAAAGATGCTTTTTCAGGAGGCAACTGGACATTCTTGTTTGTTTTCTTTTGAAGACATTTCACTTCTCATCCAAGAAGCTTCTTCAGCTCTGACAGGAATTTCATTTCCCCACTATCCTGTCAGAGTTGAAGAAGCTTCTTGGATGAGAAGGGAAACATCTTCAAAAGAAAAACAAAAACAAAACAAGGAAGTCCAGTTGCCCTTCTGAAAAAGCACCTTTGTGACATCTAAGAACAGGACATGACCTTTTAGGACATAATAGGATTAATCCACTCCCATTAGAATAGCCAAAGAGACAGAGCTCAATACATCGCACAACCCCAGCATCATCACTTAAATCTATAAAGATCCAACCAGTAATTCAACCAGTTGGTTAGCAGCCCTGGAACTACAGGCTCAGACGTGGTATTCAGCAGGTTCTGCCCAGTTCTGGAAAACTGGTAGCAGGAATTTTGAGTAATTTGGAATACCACCTCTGACTGGCCCCGCCCCCATCTCTGCTCCCGAGTCCTAGATAATTGGCGGGATCTTCTTTTGTTGCCCTGCACAGGAGAATGGAGCTGGAAAGCAGGATAGTGGGGTGGGGTGAGGTGGGAATGGAGGTTTTGCAGTACTCTTTACCTGGAGTGGGGTGGGAATGGAGATTTTACAATATCCTTCCCCTGCCACGCCCACCAAACCATGCCACACCATGTCCACCAAGCCACGCCCATAGACCCGGTAGTACTCAAGGTGGAAATCTAATTCCTCTGGAAATTGGGAAGGTTGCTCAGAGCAATTCTTTAGGTTCTGCGAGAATGAAGATAAAAAGATACTACAGGTGATCCTTCACATACAACCACAATTGAGCTGGGCTTACCTAGGAAGAAAAAAAAGGGGTGCGTGTGTGTGTTATCCTATTCTTCAAAGCTCCTGAAAGCAGGACAAGAAAGAACAGAGAGAGACTTATTAGAAAGGGACCCAACCTAGAATTAAAGAGAAACTTCCTGTCAGTAAGAACAATTAATCAGTGGAATGCCTTGCTCCCAGAAGTTCAGCAGAGGTTTTTAAGAGGAAACTGGACAGCCATTTATCCGGAATAGCATAGGGTCCCCTGCCTGGAGAATTGGTCCCTTCCTCCAACTCTTATTCTGTAATTCTGTAACCACTTCATGACTATTTAGGGCTCAGCATGTAGCTAATTTTCACAAGTTAAATAGTGTCACATTTCTCTATTTCACTTGAATCGGTTGCAAAGATTGCAAAGATCGGTTGCTCGGAGTCGAAAATGACTCAGGGGCATGTAATCAGTGAAAATGTCTTGCAAAACACCTTAATAGGTAGAGACAGGACAAGCCTGTTTTACCGCCTCCTATCGGGAGATGGCGGTCAGATGGGCAACATCGGTGCCTAGAAAGCCGTCAATAGTAGAGTAGAGGTATCTGGGGCTGAGCTTTAAGGAGTTAAAACATCAAGTACTGCATTGCTAGAAAGGAGGGGAGGGGAGGAGAAGCGCAGGATCTACCGGATCACTCATGGGAGGAAGGTGATGCGCCGAGTAGCTTTTGTGCTCTTCCCAGGGTCAAAGCAGCAGCTGGAGGGTGAGTTGAGGACAGGTTGGAGGAGAAGCTGTGAGCAAGAAAGGCTGTTTGGTTTCCTCTCCAGCGTGGAAGCGGAGAAGCCACTAGCATATAGAATAGAATATAGAAAAGCACAATTGGGTGTGACCTTGGATGTCATCCGGTCCAACAGCCTGCTCAAACATGAGACAAGTGGCTGTCCAGTATCTTCTTCAAAGTCTCTAGTAGTGGAGCACCCACAACCTGGGAAGGCAAACTGTTCCACTGTTCAATTATTATCAGGAAATTTGTTCTTGTTTCTAGGATGCTTCTCTCTTTTCATTGGTTTATCCATTACTTCTTGTCTTGCCTTCTGGTACTTTGAAGAATAAGTTAACTCTCTTCTTTGTGGCAGGACCTCAAATATTGGAACAGTGCTTATCATGTCACCCCCTAATCCTTCTTTTCACCAGACTAGACATACCCAATTCCTACAACTGTTCTTTATATGTTTTAGTTTCAAGCCCCCAGTCGCGGTTGTTGCTCTTTCATTTCTACTGTCAATAAGTTTTAAGTCCAGTATAGTTGACCCTCTAATTATGTCTTCTACCTTTTGCACAACGAAGTTGTCAGGTTTGTGAGGAACCTTGAAGAAGAAACTGGACAGGCAATTATCCAGAATGGTATGGGCTGTACTGACTGACATGGGATTGGACTAGAACAGTGATTCTCAATCTGTGGGTTGCGACCCCTTTGGGGGGGTCGAATGACCCTTTCACAGCGGTCGCCTAAGACCATCGGAAAACACATATTCTCGATGGTTTTAGGATCCGAGCCATAATTTTATGGTTGAGGGGTCACCACAACATGAGGAACTGTATTAAAGGGTCACGGCATTAGGAAGGTTGAGAACCACTGGACTAGAAGATCTCCAAGTTCTCTTCCAATTCTGTTGTTCCATTATGGACCTGCTGGGGTTGTTTGTTTGTTTTGGCAATAATATTGGATTGATCTGCCACTGTCTTTTCTGGAATGTTTGCTTTTATTATTTCCATGTCTTGCCAATAAGCATGGTGTTTCCTATTGGCACCCCATCCATGTATTAACCAGGTTCAACTTTGTTTAAGCCAGCACTTTTTAAAAAATAATTATTGAGACACTTTGGGATGATCAGTTGTATAGGTAGTCCTCGCTTACCACTTCTTCCCTAGGCCCTCAGAGTTACTATGGCGCTGTAAAGGCACATACACAGCGGATCCACAAAATTGTGGTCATTGTAGCACTCGTTCAATGACCATATGTCAGCACTTCCTGTGGTTATGAAGGTGCGGAAAAAGGACTTGCACCAATTTGGGTTCTGCCAACCGGTGCACATTTATGATGGTTTTAGCATCCCACACTCAGGATCCCCATTTGTGACCTTCCCAGCTAGCTTTGCACAAGCAAAATCAGTGGAGATGTCAGCAGGAAGTTGCAAACCACGGTCATGTGACCTTGCCTTGAACAACCAAAAATGATTTGCTTAACAATTGCAGAGGAACAGTTATAAATTGGCACTGTCATGTGACATCATGCTTCATGATCGTGCTGCTTAGTGACACAGATGCCGGTCCCAAATGTGGTCAGTGAGTGAGGACTACTTGAATTAGGATGTCACCAGAGTGGTTGTGGACAATATTTTCTGCCCTTATTTGGAACTGAGGACTTCCATGGCAAAACTGGTGCTTCAAATCTTGCAGAGCCTTTAGGCATCATTTCATCAGTTAAAGCTCCCACATCTCTAAAGTTAGCACAGAAGATTTGACTGTAACCAGTTTGGGATACCTTTCAGGCTGAAAACACATGGATTTTCTACATATATACATATTTGTAGGTGTGTGTATTTGTACTTCGCTCTGTATACATATATACAATTGTATAATCTAACCCCAGCACTTCTAGTTATATTTCATGATAACCCTTTAGACTGCTAAGAATTTGTTTTTACACAAATATTTTATTAATTCATCAAAATGAGGATACAGAAGTGTAAATAAAAAATTAAAATATTGGAAAAACGGGAGCGAAAGGGGAAGAGAGAAAAGTGTAGGGGAAAGGAAAATGAAAAGCGTTGATTTCTGACTCCTTTTGGAGCAGTAGAATAATATGAAACCTCAACTTCTTAAGATAATAAATACTAGCACTTCTATAACAACAAACCTATCTAATCAACAAAGCCCAAAATCAAACTTTCTTTTTTTTTTCTATCTGAAGAACAAATTCCAAAAGCAGTTTCCATGTAGAAACAAAATTAATCCTGTTCTTTTTTTTTAACCAAGGCAGTCAATTTATCCATCTCTGCTAACTCCATCAGGTTTTACAGCCATTCATCCTTCCATTTTTGTGCATGTAGCATTCTTGATGTCATCAACATATATAATATCAAAGTTTCATTTCAAGTTCTTTATCCATTAAACCTAAGATAAATCTTTCTGGTTTTATCTTTATATTCTCTTTAAGAAGCTTTGGTATTAAGATGTGAATTATACTACAATATTTCTTGGTCACATGTCCACCATAAATGATAAAATCTCTTATTTACATTTCCAACATTTGAGGTGTCTCTACATATTCTTGATAATGTTTTTGATGTTAGATACCAACCATCATCATAAAACCATTTGGTATATAGCTTCCTGCTACCAAGATCCCTTCCAACTCTGTTCTATTCTTCCATTGTTCAAGCATTATATTGCATTCAAAGTTCTTTGCCCACTGAGTCATACAATGCTTTACATAGTCATTCTGCAAGTTCAATAACAGTTTATAAATCTTAGCAACAATATGTTCAATACTACCAAGTAGCATTTCCAATTCATTTTTCACAAAATCGTATCCATAGCTCTTTTTTGTCTAGTTCAAATCTTTCTTTTGATTGTAAATATATAAACCAATGACAAACATCCTTCTGATTCCAACTCCTGTTTAGATTTCAGGATGTCATGATAATTGAAAAAATATTATTTGACCATAAGCCTGCCAGTCTGGCCTTGCTACCATTTCTTTTCTTTAAAAATGTTTCCGAGCAGACAGCCAAAGAGGTATCATCCTAGAGAACTTTATATTTCTTCCAAACTCTTAAGATGGTATGTCTAACAAAGTGATTATTAAAATCAACATTTGCTTTAACCTTATCATACTATAAATAGCTGTGCCATCAAAATCTGTATTCATGGCTGTCAAGCTCAAGTAACTTCTTATTTTGAAGAGTCATTTGCTCTTTTTTCCAGAAAACAACAAGCATCAAAGAAATTTCAAAACTGATAAATCCCAACCTCTTTCCTTAGCATCTTGCAATAATTTATATTTAATTCTTAGTTTTTTCCTTTAACATCAAAACTTAGAGATGTCCATCTGCCATAGTTTAAATTGAGTTTCAATTATAATATTTAAAGTATGAGAGAAATAGCATGTTTTGTAAAACATTTATCTGAATTATCCCAATAATTGCAGTATGAAGAATTTGTGATTGACCCAAGTCAAACAAGTGTATTTCATGAATGAATATTTGAACTTGGGTCTCAGTAATCTTCAGGCGTGAGAGTCTACTGGTTCGGACTGGTTTGGGTGAACCAGATGTTAAATTTGCCTCTGGTTCACCGAACTGGTGTTTGAACTGACTGACAGTCACCCCTCCCTTCTCCTCCAGAGGTTTCCACACAGCCCATTTTCAATGCAGGTAAGTGCAGAGTCTGCCTGAAGGCTCTGGGAGGGGGGGAACGGGCCTTCTGGAAGTAGCGGAAGTCTGGAAATAGGCCTGTTTCCTGCTTCCCTCGGGCCTCTAGAGCCTGGGGGCCTCCCAGAAGCCCGAGGGAAGCCTCCGGACCCTTGGGAAGGTGAAAAATGCCCCTACCGGAAGTACCAGAAGTCACAACATGGGCCTGTTTCTGGCTTCCAGAGGGCCTCTAGAGCCTGAGGGAGGTCGTTTTTGCCCTCCCAGAGGCCCGAGGGAAGCCTTTGGCCCCTTGGGAAGGCAAAAAACGGCCCTCCCTGAAGTTCCGGTAGGCCACGCCTACCATAGCCATGTCCACCCAGCAACTGGGCAGCGAACCAGTTGCTGGGACTTTTGAATCCCACCCCTTATAATCTTCAATGTGTCAAATGAATCATAATTAACATTAGAAGCTATTTCAGCATTTTGGCATGTTTGCTTTTTACTTGTAATGTATACTTGTTTTCACATCTTCTGCAATCATTTTATAAATAAACAATTTTAAAGTGACACTTTTATTTAAATCTTACAGTGAAGAGGATATCAATAAAAGCACTCTGGACCAACTGAGAATAACCAGCAACTTTGAAAATGAAAGCAAATTGAGCCTTCGGAAAAGCACACAATTCTTCTCCTTACCCAGCTGGTGAGAGACAAAAGAGAGAAAATCAAGAAGATATTTCAACCTGAAAAAAGTAGATTATGCAGAACTCAACAATAGATTATACAAAAAGGTCAAAGGAGATTATTTTTCATCCAGAAAAATAGGGAAATGTCTAGAAGTGGGTGGAGAGGAAAAAGACAATTGGTTAGTCACAAGGAGTAGACAGTAAGGCAGGCCTTGCCCCGTGAGGAAGAAAACAGTATCAAAGCTCCATGCAACCAGAGATCACACATATTTTTGACCTCTTTAAGAATATAAGTGGTGGGAAAGCTCCATAGATGTGCCTATTGTGGGAAGATCACAGATAGCAAATCATAGATTATGCATGACAGGAGCCACACTGGAGGAAAGCCGTACAAATTATCCAAATGTGGGAAAAGCTTTAGTTAAAACAGCTCCCTTGTGGTTCATGGAAGGGCCCACACAGGCGAGATGCGCTAAAAGTGCTCCCAATGCAGTAAATATTTTTGCAAGCATGGCAACTTAGTGATACATCAGAGGACTCACATCAGGGGAAATCCCTTTGAATGGTCCAATTGTGGGAAAAGTTTCATTGCAAATTCCCACCTGGTGGTACACCAGAGGATGCACACAGGAAAGAAATCATATAACTGTCCTGATTGTGGGAAAAGTTTCATTGCAAATTCCCACCTGGTGATCCATCAGAGGACTCACACAGGAGAGAAGCCCTTCGAATGTCCTGATTGTGGGAAAGGTTTCAGTCAGAATTCTAGCCTGGTCATTCACCAGAGGACTCACACAGGAGAGAAACCCTTTGAATGTTCTGATTGCGGCAAACGTTTCAGTTGGAATTCCAACTTGGTGAAACACCAGAGGACTCACACAGGAGAAAAACCCTTTGAATGTCCTGATTGTGGGAAAAGTTTCAGTCAGAATTCTGACCTGGTGAACCATCAGAGGACTCACACAGGAGAGAAACCCTTTGAATGTCTTGATTGTGGCAGAAGTTTCAGTCAGAATTCTAACCTGGCAACACACCAAAGGACTCACACAGGAGAGAAACCCTTTGAATGTCCTGATTGTGGCAAACGTTTCAGTCAGAATTCCAATCTGATGACGCACCAAAGGACTCACACAGGAGAGAAACCCTTTGAATGTTCTGACTGTGGGAAACATTTCAGTCAGAATTCCAGCCTGGTGATACACCAGAGGACTCACACTGGAGAGAAACCATACGAATGTCCGGACTGTGGGAAAGATTTCAGTAGTAGGTCTAGCCTTATAAGTCATGTAGTTTTGCATACAGGGGAAAAACCTTTCAGATGTTCGGTTTGTGGACGGTACTTCAGACGGAAATCATCCTTTATTGCACACAAGGTAATCCATATGAGGCAAACGCTGGCAGGTTTAGAGAAGGCTTGAATTTCATTTCTGATTTCCCATTGGAAGTGTAAGTGAGAAACTGACAATCTGAATTGCGTCTTGATTCGTTTTAGTCAGCATCTCTCAGGATTATATTTTTTGGTGGAGGGAAAAAATGGAAAATATTAGTTCGATAAAGGGTAACTACTTTTGTGTTTGTCAACAGAGGTTACTGGATATTTCCTTTTACAAAATTTGTGGAATTTCTCAAAACGGCTTTTGGATGGTGTTTTTTGTATATTGATTATTGAAATCCTAAATAAGACACTGGCTACCTCAGAGTTGGGGGGAACTCTTGCAGGGCTAGCTCAAGCCCAGGCTTGCTCCCCCAGGCATCGCTAGGCCTCCCAACATCCCAAGACACCTATTGCTCTGATTCCCAACCCTTGGTTCCTCCTCTCCCAGGCCTTCTCCTCCCTTACAGGGTCCCAGCAGGCTTTTCCTTCCATCCACAGGCCTTCCCCACAGAATACCCTCAGGCTTTTCCCAATCCCACTGGCTCCCTGAGGACCTTAGGCCATTACGAACAAATGGAGCACCCACAATTTCTGGAGGAAAGGTTCATGCGAACCTGATGTTAAAGTTACATCTGGTTCGCTGAACCAGTAATTCAATCGACCGGCTGGCCCCACTCACTCTGCCCCTCCCCTCCCAGGAATCTCCACGCAGCCCATTTTCGATGGAGGTAAGTGCACGATCTGTGTGGAGGCTTGGGGAGGGGGAAAAAAATGGCCATTCCGGAAGTCCAGAAACGGGCCTCCAGAATCTGGAGGAGGCTCTTTTTGCCCTCCCAGAGGCCATGGGGAAATCTCTGGACCCTTGGGAGAGGGAAAACGACCTCCCCCGAGCTCTGGAGGCCCACTGGAAGCCGGAAACAGGAAGTTTCAGTAGACCATGCCCACCGTGGCCATGCCCACCTAGCAACTGGGCAGTAAACCAGTTGCCGTGGATTTTCAAATCCCACCCCTGAGGAAAGCCATTCCACTGATGAATTAGTTCCACTTGCAGGAAATGTCTCCTTAATTATAGGTTAGAAACCTTTTTTAAAAGTCTGTTCTTTTCCTGCTTTGGACAATATGTCGACCCACTCTTTTCTGTGTCAGTCCCTTAAATATTGAAAGACTGCTATTACGTCACTCCTATTCCTCCTTTCTGTTAGATAGACACTAGAGACATATCCAGTTCCTGTAATCGTTCATCTTATGTTTTACTCTCCAATCCCTAATCATCTTTGTTGTTCTTCTCTGCACTCTTTATAGAGCCTCAACAGTGACCAAAACTGGATGGTGTAGTCTTACCAGCGCAGTATAATGCAGTGTGATACTATCGTATCCCTCTGCTGATGCAGACTAGGACTGCATTGGCTTTTTCTGTAGCTGCAGCCCAGTGGGTGTTTACTAGGAGTCCTGGATTCCTCTCACAGTTACTGTTGTTGAGCCAGGTCAAAATGAAGGTCCTTTTTAAAACTGGAGGGCTATGGGTGCAAAATGTTGATCTGAATGTTCATGCTTTGTTTTCCCAATATCCTACACCGAGGAACTTTTAATATGTGGGAGCATGTATGGGGATGCCCTTGACAGTAGACTTACCGAAAAGCTTGGCATTAAAAATGAGCGATGCAGTCGCTTGGCCTCCTTGGTTGCTGCTCTTGCGAATGGCTCTCCAATCCTCTTAAAATCCTTCCTCCAAGCCCTTCTCTTTCCTCTCAGCCCAACGTCTTGGTGCAGCCCAGATGAAGTCTCCTTGTGTTTTCCGGAAGGTTGGGCACCAATGTTCCCGCGTTCCCCTGTGGCTGTTGGGGAGGATCAGCCTCCCAGTATGTGGAGGGGAAGAAGAGGGGAGGACTCAGGGAGATCTGAGTTCAGAGAACTCCTGGCTGGAGGGGCTCCCTCTGAGGGCTTGAACTGTGTTAGGAGAAGGCCAATGGCATCTCGAGGGTGATGGGAGACCTGAGAGGCATCCAGGTGGGCTTGGCCAATGGGCAGTCCTGTCCAGGTGGGCTTGCTTGGAGATGCAGCCCCTGAATCTGCCTCTCTTACCTGCCCAAATTCCCTTTCTGGTGACTGCTGCATCCCTGTGTCTCGCTGCCCATGTAAGGGAACAGCCCTGTCTTTGAATGTTTTCAATTTCAATTTTAGTTCTTTTACGGGTTGTATAATGATCCATGCTGAAAAAGAAGCTTTCCACTGTGTTTACAAATGTCATTACAAAGAGATCAAGAGAGTTCTGTAATTTTGTAGAACGATAAAAGAATTTCAGGTCAAGGGACAGGCCTGGGAGCTCCAATAACTGCCTGCAGAGTATTTGGGGAAAGAGAGACTGGTGTGCACAAGAGGCAGGTTGATTGAACTCCAAAGAGACTTGAGTTGTTGGAATAAAATATCGCTGCTTACATTCTATCAAGCCAGTCCTGCTTCCTCTAATTATTCCATTATATTCTCCCCTTTCCAACTTTCACTAGCACTGTTGATATCACTTAGTTTGGGTAATGAATCGTCTGCAAAAAAAAAGCCAGCAAGCTCAGAGAGCACCAAGGACCCCTCATTTCAAACTTGAGCTACAAATATTCTCCTTTATTGGTAATTTTCCACTTTTCTCCAAGTTACACGGCTATATAAAGGCCGGCGGTTTCCAGAGAGCAGAAAACCTTGCAAGTAAAGATGAGGACTCAGAAGGAGATGGGGGCAGATGGGGAAAAACATGTCTCTCCTCACCCCAAGAAGTCTCTCCTTCCCTTCCCACATCTGGGGATTCTCCCCCCTTTATCCTGATTGTGCCCTTTCTCCAGCTCCTCTCCCCTTCTTGCAGCATCCTTGCCTACCTAGCACCCCTTGTGCACCCTTCCCTTCAAAGGAAGCCCTGGCATACAGAAGTGTGAGGACCCAGGGCATGGCACAAAGGCAACACAGTCAAATAAGCAAGAAGAGTCTCTTTATTATCTCCAACTTTGCCCCCAATGTCCAGGTTACCTTTGGCTGGAGAAAAACTCTCCCAGGAACAGCCTTTAAGTGGAGGAAATTCCGTCCGAAAACAAAGCACATATAAACTGTAACTAAAAATCCACACAAACCACGCTGCAGTAATTAATCTGACAGGGCAGGAGAAGGAATTGCAGACTTAAAAGCACAGCAAAACACACACAGTTGGGAAGACGCCAAGAACACAGATAAGCCTCCACGATACCAGATAATTCATGATTTGCTCCCAACAACTTGCTGTGCGCAGCTTCCCTTTTTAAAGACTGTGTTCCCAGCTGCAGCTAATGAAGGGAATCAGGGCCCTTTCCTACACCATAAGCCATGCAACTCACATTGCTCCCTTCTCCATTCCTTTGAGCATTTGTGTATAGGCACTTGAGTCCTGTATGGCTAACCCTGGATACGCTTCCTGTATCTCCTAATTTATATCTCTGTTTTTTTTTCCTTATCACTCACTCCCCTCCATTTTAGAACAGGGGAAGAAAGGCCGGAAATGGATCATCTACTCAGAGTGAGCAATTTTCCATATTTTGGCGGGGTAGGAAGGAGAGAGGTGTGAGTCTATGGGAGCCCAAAACTGGATGGCATCGAATAGCCCTTTGGCAGAGTAAGAGTGAATGATGCATTTAAATGCAATTTGTTAGCCAGAAGAGATGCCAACCAGACTCCTCTTGACATACCATATAAGGTGAGATGTTATGTTTGTATTGAGCAAATCCCAACATCTAATGCCAGGGTGAAGGATGGTGGGTGTCGTAATCCAAACACATCTACAGGTCTTCCTTGCCCATCTTCAATAGTGATGAATTCGTAATTTGCATTTAGAGGTGAAGATTAGCACATGCAAAAATAGATACATATAGAGATATTTCTTAAGTTTTCACGGGTACTTACATGTACGGCATTCAGCTTTGTTCGGGTATTTTCCCACGTCATTGTAGTTGTGCTTTTAAAGTTGTAGCAACATTTCGGCATAATCTCATCTGCCATTATCAGGCTTCTTCCTATACAGAAGCCTGATGATGGCAGATGAGATTCTGAGGGAACGTTGCTACAACTTTAAAAGCACAACTACAATGACTTGGGAAAATACCGGAACAAAGCTGAATGCCATACATATATGTGTGTGTGTGTGTATACATATAATCTCGGTCCTTGGTTTTGGGGTTTTGGCCTTCCAGTGCGAGGAGTGGGGTGGGTTGAGGGTCTTTTGCGGTCCCCGGTTGGAGGGCTTTGGCATTGCTCGACAGCGCCCCACTCGTCCCTTCTCCTTGGTTGCTTCAGCGAAGGAGTTAAACGCAGAGCTTTTCTTTGGCGCCTAGAGAGGAGGCAGGAAAGGAATCCAGCTTCCTTCCCTTCTTTCTGGTCTCCCGACGTCTCTTAAGCCAGGCCTGCGGGGATCCCCTCTCGGGGAGAGCGCCAGGTGGGCAACGCCGCTGCCAGAGGGGGAGGAGACCAGGAGGGGGAAGGAAGAGGAGGGGGAATCCCCAGGTGAGGGAGGGGAGGAGGGATTCCTGGGGGGAAGGGAAGGAGAGTGAGGTGGGGTTTCCCCAGTTGCGTCCCCTCCGCTTCCGAGTCCCCGCCTTTCCTCGCAAGGTTTTCTGCTCCGTGAGAACCGCTGCGCCGCCGCTTCTCCTCCTCGGTTGCTGATTCTGCGAACGGCTCTCCGATCCCCTTAAAAACCTTCCTCCGAGACCCCCCCACTCCTTCCCCGCAGCCCAACATTTGGTGCAGCCCGGCTCCCAGGGTGAGGCCGCCTGGTGTTGGGCACCACCGTTCCCACGTTCCCCTGTGGCTGCCGGGGAGGATCCGCCTCCCAGGAGGGGAGGAAGAGGATCTGGATTCAGAGAGATCGTGGCTGGAGGAACCCCTGGCATCTGAATGGCGGGTGACTGGAGACCTGAAAAAGGCCTCCAGGTGGGCTTAGCCAATGGGCAGCCCTGTCCAGGTGGGCTTGTTTGGAGATGCACCCCCTGAATCTGCCTCAGTCTCTCACCTGCCCGGATTCCCTTTCTGCTGACTGCTGCATCCGTTTCTCTCCCCACTAACCGATCATCATCACCCATGGAAGTTTTCAATTTTAGTTTTAGCCCTTTTTATGGGCTGCACAATCTACCCTTAAAAAGAAAAAGAAGCTTTCCACTGTGTTTACAAACAGCTTTCCAAAGAGAGGAAGGGGGTTCTCTGATATACAGGTAATCCTAAACTTACAACGGTTCATTTAGTGACATTTCTCAAGGGACATTGGCGTTGGAAAAAGTGACTTGTGGCCATTTTTTACACTTGGGACCATTGCAATAGCCCCATGGTCATGTGATTTACACTGGCAGCTGGTTCATATTTATGACAGTTGCCGTGTCCTGGGATCCTGTGCAGGGATGGGATCCCACAGGGTTAACTACCAGTCCGGTCATTTAAGAGGTTCGGTGATATATGATGTGCTTCCCTGCACTCTGCTGGGCGTGCGCCCGTAAATCATCAGCAGCATGCTGCGTGCAGAGAAGCAGCCTTTCAAAAAGCCCTTTTTTCCTGCTTTTTTAACTGCAGCTGTGCCTTGCACAGCAGCTGAAGTTGA